CTGGCTGAGCGCGGTGCAGACGCAACACCGAGGGTTGCGATCCCGTTACCGGTCAGTAAAAAAGACAAAAAGGAAAAAAAAAAAAAAAGATGACTGGTAAGGGGATCTTAACCCTTGACTTGGTGTTGTCAGCACCACGCTCAGCCAGTGAGCTAACCGACCATCCCTATATGGGATCCGAACCCGGGGCCTTGGTATTATGAGCACCACACTCTCCCGAGTGAGCCACAGGCCGGCCCTATCTGGTTTTCTTTTCGCTATTACATTAGGGGCCTTTTTCATCGTTGCTTTTTGTCCTCTTTTTTTCTTTTTTTGTGGCTAGCCGGTACAGGGATCGAACCCTGGACCTTGCTGTTAGCAGCACCATTCTCTAACCAACTGAGCTAACCATCCAGCCAACTTTTTGTCCTCATTTTTAATTTTTGCATAAAATACCATCTCCTGGATGTACTATGATTTACTTTACCATTCCCATTCTTTCAATAAATATTTAATAAGCACAGAAGATAGAGTAGTGAGCAAGATAGACAAAGTCCTTCTCAAAGTTACAGTCTTCTAGGGAAGATGCAATGTTAAGCAAATGAGAAACAAAAGTCAGTGAGCACCCTGATAAGCAAGGTTCAGTGCCAGGAGCATGAAGCCATGGCTGCTTGAGTTGCTTCCAATTCCGTTTTATCTAATAAGTAACGTGACAGTTGGACTATCTTTGTGCACATAACTTGTTTCCTCATTTTAAATTATTTTTATTAGTTTGATTTTTAGATACAATGTGTTAAAACACTTTTCTTTTTTTTTTTTGTTTTTTGTTTTTTGGCAACTGACCTGTACAGGAATACAGGTCCTTAGATGGTGTAGGAATACACCAACCCTAGATGTTGGTGTCAGCAGCACCACCATTCTCTAACCAACTGAGCTAACTGGCCAGCCCGTACTTTTCATAATTGTTAATATTATTAATTTGCACAATTGTTAATGATTGCGTAAAATACCCTTATAGAAGTGTTGACCAATTTATGAAGCTGCCAGCCATTCCCATCTATTTTTTCAGACCCTCCTTACTGCTCCCACTCACCTGCTCACTGGCTTACTCGTTCAGGGTTTTCCTGTGCTCTTCCAACACCCAGGTGAGTGAGCAGTTTGCCCGGCATATTGACCAGCGGATCCAGGGAAGCCGGATTGGGGGAGCCCGAGGGATGGAGATGCTGGCGCAGCTGCAGCGATGTCTGGAAACCGTTCTGATTTTCTCTGGCCTGGAAATAGCCACCACCTTCGAGCATTACTACCAGTGAGTGTGAACCTAGAAGATGGGAGATGGAGGAAATGGGAATGTGGGGGCAGGGCCAGCTCACAGGGCCTCGGAATCTGGGATACAAGCATGCCAGAGCCCTGGAGCGGGAAACTGGCACCCACACTGAGGGTTGGCCTGGGCTGTGTGTGCTGCAGACACTACATGGCAGACCGTCTCCTGGGCGTGGGCTCGAGCTGGTTGGAGGGGGCCGTGCTGGAGCAGATCGGTTCCTGCTTCCCCAACCGCCTCCCCCAGCAGATGTTGCAGAGCCTGAGCACCTCTGAGGAGCTGCAGCGCCAGTTCCATGTCTACCAGCTCCAGCGGCTCGATCAGGAACTCCTGAAGCTGGAAGACACAGAGAAGAAAATACAGGTGGGTGCCAGGGAGGGGATGAGCAAATGGGAGGATAGGAAGGAAGAGAGGCACCGAGCAGACAGGAGGAGGCCCACAGCATTTGCAAACCCTGTGTCCCTTCAGGTGGGCCATGAGGCTAGTGGCAAAGAGTACAAGAGCGAGAAGAAAGAGGAAGCTGGAGCGGCTGCAGCAGCAGACATGGTGGAGGGAGAGGAGGAGGATGAGGACCTCTACTATGAAGGGGCGATGCCAGAGATATCTGTGCTCGTCCTGTCCCCGCGCTGCTGGCCTGTTGCCTCTATCTCCCACACGCTGAACCCCAGAACCTGCCTGCCCTCCTACCTGAGGGGCACTTTGAACCGATACTCCAACTTCTACAACAAAAGTGAGCAGCCAGTCAGAGGGAACTCGGGTCTGGGGAGAGGGTGGGGTCCTGGGAAGGGACCCCGGATTGCGGGCAGACCCTGGGGTGGGGAGCCTTAATGTGTAACAAGATGGTCTTTAGGGATAAGAATTCCTTAGGCAGGGCTGGTTGGTTAGCTCAGCTGGTTAGAGCACGGTGTTATATCACCAAGGTCAAGGGTTCAGATTCCTCATGCTTCTTCCTACCCCACCCCAACCAGCCAGCCGCAAAAAAAAAAAGAATTACAACTGGGAGTGGGAGGTGCTGTCAGACACCAGATCCCCACATCGTTGCCTTTTCTGTCCTTAAAGAAGTCCTAGGAATCTCTTTGTGAGTAGGAGGGAGGATGAAGGGAGGAGGCTCTGAGGTCCCCAAAAGAGCCTTCCCTTGGGGGCAGGTGTCTGGCTCCCTCCTGGCTAGTCACCCATAATCCTAAATTCCCCATGGGGTGTGTATCCCTGGGCTGGGCAGCAACAAAGGAGGGAAAGAGATGCAAACCTTGCCCTCAGAGAACTCCCAGACTAATGGGGGAGACATTGTTTACTCTCTCACATGTTCTAGTCTGATAAGAGCCTTGGTCTTTCCTCACTTCATGGCTTTGTCTCCCTAAAAAAAAATGGGGCACTCCTTGAATGCACTAATTGGAGCCTGCCTGGCACAAGGTCAGGCACAGAGTGGCTCCCAGATACCTCAGGCTCTCCAGGGAGGTGGGCACAGAGAAGGCTGACATCTGGAAGCTCAGACCAGGAGCCACAGTGTCTGTAGATGCTGGGACCACGTGCTCTGCGGAGATCAGCAGGGGCAAAGCTGACCACCGGTGTACCCTCACTTCAACCCCTAACTCCCTCCTTTCCCCTGCTCTGTCTCTCTCCTCCTCCCTGGTACTTCTCCAGGTCAGAGCCATCCTATCCTAGAGCAAGGCCCACAAAGGCGGCTGCAGTGGACATGGCTGGGCCGGGCTGAGCTGCAATTTGGGGACCAGACCCTGCATGTGTCCACCATACAGATGTGGTTGTTGCTGTATCTCAATGATCTGAAGGTGGCCTCACCCCTCTGCACCTCCCTGTTCTCTTCCATTTTGTCCCTCACCTTTCTTCCCTAAACTTGACTCCTTCCCTCCATCCTTTCCTCTCCACCCCTTGGGAAGCCCTGAATGCTTTCCACCTCTTCTCTTAAGATGGTCTCTGTAGAGAGTCTGCTGGCACTCTCGGGGCTCTCTCCAGATGTGCTGAATCAGGCGATTGGGCCTCTCACCTCTTCAAGAGGTCCCTTGGACCTTCATGAGCAAAAGGATGTACCAGCAGGTACGTACTTAAGGCCAGAGGGGCCTCTGCTCTAAGCCAGGGCCAGGCTCCTCATGGGCCCTTCACTGAATGACCAGTATTTATGTCAGGGTTTCTCAAGGTTCGAGATGGCAGTGAGGAACCTAGGCCAAGGAGAGGAAACGTGTGGCTCATCCCACCTCAGACATACCTGAAAGCTGAGGATGAAGAAGGCCGGAACTTGGAGAAGAGACGGAATCTTCTGAACTGCCTCATTGTCCGAATCCTCAAGGCCCACGGGGATGAAGGGCTGCACATTGATCAGCTTGTCTGTCTGGTAGGGGCGTGGGCACAGTGGGTGAGGGAGCTTTGTGGGGGCTGGGGGGACAGTCCACAGGAGGAGGTGGGTCCATGTTTGAAACATCTTGTTTACTGTGCAGCCTGTAGTGTATGAGGAGTATGACTGGGGTGCACCTGATGTCCTTGGGGCTTCCTGTCCTAGAAGCTTGTGGTTGGAGTGGAAGCTAGAGGTGGGATAAGCTGGGTGTCTCTGACCTATTGTTTCTCCTTTCCTCTCCCATACCAGGTGCTGGAGGCATGGAAGAAAGGCCCTTGTCCCCCCAGGGGTTTGGTCAGCAGCCTTGGTAGGGGGTCTGTCTGCAGCAGCACTGATGTCCTCTCGTGCATCCTGCACCTCCTGAGCAAGGGCACGCTGAGACGCCATGATGACCGGCCCCAGACGCTGTCCTATGCAGTCCCCGTGACTGTGATGGAGCCTCACACTGAGTCCCTGAACCCAGGCTCCTCAGGCCCCAACCCACCCCTCACCTTCCACACCCTGCAGATTCGCTCTCGGGGTGTGCCCTATGCATCCTGCACTGGCACTCAGAGCTTCTCTACCTTCCGGTAGTCCTGGAGATGGGGTTGGGGTAGGTACAGCTGGGGCTTTCTACAGAAATAAAATGCAGGAGTTTGATTACATGACCCATGTGTGTTTGGTGCCTGCTAGAAACCTGAGAAGGGGGGGGGAGGGCACTTTCCTGGCCAAAAGATGTAAGGAACTCTCTGACACTGAGGCTGTCTTGTGACATGTCAGCAGTCTTGTTAGGGTAAGGATGGTAGACTGGGGACAAAGGTGGAGGGTATCCCCCTCTCTAGGCAGGGGGATTAAGTGGATCAGAATAGTAACAGTTGTGGAAGCACTTGACACAGTGAAGGCTTTGCCAGTGCGTCCCTATTTTGGTCACCACTCCCAGCAGTGAATGCAATTCACTGGTGCCTTCCCTAAGTAAGGCTGACATGATAAAGGTGAGAAAAGACCCTCGCAGCCACCACATGCACCCAACAACCTGAATCTGGGTGGGAAGTAGACCTAGAAGGAACTGCAGCTCCTTTCTTACTTCCCCCCGCAAGCTCCTCCACGTTGCCCCTCTCTTCTACCCTTCTGCTTCTACCCTCCTCTGGCTCTGCAGAGCTGAATGAATGTCAAAACTCCTACCACTTAACTAGTTGCATAGGCAAGCCAGTGCCACTAAGAAGGAGGTTTGCTTATGCTGCTATGATTGGCTCTCTGGCTCCACCCACACTGGGGCAGGGCAGGTCAGACTAGGGGACCCAGTGCCAGGGGATAGAGCTCTGCATCTTGGCAGGGCCACTGGGGAGAAGGGAAGGAGGAATGACCCAGGCATCCTAAGTCCATGGTTCTTCTCTCAGCCCAGAGGTGACAGGGAGAAGAAAGGAGGGGGAGGAAGGGTGTAGAAGAGTCAGGTGGTAAGGGAGGGTACAGAGGCCAGACAGAGGGAACTGGGTACCTCTCGGGACTGACACTTGGAATAGTCTGTAAGTAAAAAGAGGCCAAGGCCTGGCAGAGTCTGGGGCTCAGGATGAGGCAACAAACCAGAGGGCAGAGGGATCTCCAGGGGACACAGAGGGCTCATGCTTTTGCAGTAGTGGTTCCATGGTGTTATTGGTGGCTCTCAGAGCATGTACCAGCCTGTTGGCCCATGGCTACCCTGTGGGGCAGAGTCCAGACAGGCAGCAGCAGGCTGGGACAGCTGTGGGCCCAGGGCACACTTGGGGCTGCTGCAGTTTGTCACTTGGATGCCTCTCCACCTTTGTACCAGAGATCATGACCTACTTTTTATTAGCCCACGCCATGCTCTTATTCTTGAGCTAGCTGTCAATTGCTAGAGCTTTTTGCCCTTCTTTGGGCTCTCATGCCCCTTGCTGTGGGCTCTAGTAGCCTGGCCAACATGCACCACATGTCAGGGCCGAGGATGAGGCTTTCTTTCACTGTGTCACCCCGTGCTACTACTGCCGCCATGGGCTTCTGCATGAGCTGAGCTGTAGGCCATGTCTTGAACTCACTGTGCTTCCTCAAGCCCTTGTGCATCCTATTCAGTCACCCCGCCCCTCAGCCTCCCATAGGGTACCTCCCTGTTCATCTGCAGCAGATGAAGTCTCCAGCAATTCTTAAGGGAAGAACACACCAGCTTTGGCCCCAAAATGCTGCATGTTCCTGTCTGCAGCACAGCTCCTGTGTTGCCTGCCCTCCTCAAAACATCTCAGCCGACACCCAGACTCTGGCCTGGTTTATTGCCCAAATCCAGGTGAGCAGCTCTGACTTCAGGCACAGACTACCCTTCTTCACCAGCACCAGAAAGGACCTGAGCCTCTTTATCTGCCCTCAGGACCCTCCATTCATAGAGGGCAGCTGGCTTCATTTCTGTTTGTTTTTTGGTGGCTGGCCAACAAGGGTATACCTTAACCTTGGTGTTATCAGCACCATGTTCTAACTAGGTGAGCTAACTGGCCAGCCTGGTTTCATTTCTAAGACAACTCGGGACAGAAATCCCTGGCCCCCTTGTGAGCCCACCTTCACAGCTACAATTCCTTATATCCCTACAGCTGGTTTGGGACCTTGGCTCAAAACTAGTCACTCCCCCCCCCCAAAAAAAAAAAAACCACACACAAAAGACCACATACTGATTTCATTTATATGAAATGTCCCAAATAGACAAATCTATAGAAATAGAAAGCAGATTAGTGGTTGCGTAGGGCTAGGGGGTTTGGGAGAAAATGGAGGATGATGCCAAAAGGTATAGGGTTTCTTTTTGGGTGTCAAAAATGTTCTAAAATTGTAATAATGGTTGCATAATTCTGGGCCGGCCCGTGGCTCACTGGGGAGAGTGTGGTGCTGGTAACTCCAAGGCCACAGGTTCAGATCCCTATATAGGGATGGCCAGTTAGCTCACGTGGGAGAGCATGGTGCTGACAACACCAAGTCAAGAGTTGGGATCCCCTTACCAGTCATATTTTAAGAAAAAAAAAATGGTTGCATAATTCTGTAAATATATTTAAAAATATTGTGCACTTTAAATGGGTAGATAGTATGGCGTGTGAATATCTCAATTAAGCTGCTACCCAAAACAAAACAAAACCCCAGAGCTGAAGCTCAGAGCTTTCCAGTATCTCTTCTGAGTCCTTGTTGAAGGGGAAAAGAAGCAGTTTGAAGGCTTGGGTTGGCCAATTCCGCCTTGTAGCAGACATTCATGTTTTCTGACCACCCATCATCTGAACGCCCTTCCAATACTTGGGATTGTCTCCCACAAATCTAGAGAGAAGACAGGGCCCACCACCCACCATATAAAAGACCAGATGTGCAGCTGGCCAGGTTGCTCAGTTAGTTAGAGCACAGCCTTGTAACACCAAGGTCACAGGTTCAGATCCCTATACTGGCCAGCTGCCAAAAAGAAAAAAAAAAAAACCCCAAAAATCCAGATGCTGGCTTTTCAGCGCTCCCACTTCAACTATGTGATGGAGGCTTGGCTAATCAGAGCAAAGCAGGAGAGAAAGTGGACAGTACATTTTGCTGGCAGTGTGGTACCTTCATATCAACATTCCACCCTCTTCTCTCCAGCTTCGTTGTGACTCTCGGTCCAATAGATAAAGTTTTTTTTCAGGCAGAATCCATTCTTTGACTTTACAGTAGGATGACACACGTATCACTGGGGACCCAGTAGCCCTGGATTCCTCACTCCATCCTGGCAAGGCAGCTATAGCTCTACACTTACAATCACCAGGGGAAGAGCATCTTATCCTTTATCTTCCTTATGCTGCAGCTTCCATTTCTGTCCTAACTACATCTTTCACCCACCCCAGAAGCATCAAGCAGTACATGTTGTAGCTTCAAATTCTACTTCTTTTCTTTATGTTAGGCTTTCTTTTTGTCGGGGGCAGGGGGCATCCAAACCCTTGACTTTTGGTGTTATAACACCACATTCTAACCAACTGAGGTAATCGGCCAGACCCTAAGAAGATAGACTTTCTAATGTTCTGTAGTTTCTTATGATTTATCTAGCTACACACCCCCCCACACACTTCTTTTTTTAATCCTTTTTGGGATTAACTGAGCTTACTGATTCTTAGGGTTCATAAACTTAATCATTTCTACAAAATTCTCAGCCTCTTTAAAATATTCTCTCCTTCTAGTTTTGTTTTTTTAACCAGCCAAATTTACCAGTGGGGGGATTGTATATCAACTTTATTGACACTAATGTTAAGTTCTGATAACCTGTATAATTCTGATATGTACATCAAACCTTCTCATTCTACCTTTTGTTTTATAACCTCTTTTCCTTAGTTTTCTTTTCTCTGTATTTCTGTGCTCCATCTGTTTAACTTCTTCAGATCTACTTCCAGTTATTCTCCCTTTAGGGAGAAGTCTAATCTGCTGTGTAACCATAAAGCTTCTAACTTTGTATAGTACTTTTTCACTTTTTTTTTTTTTTTTGTCTTTTTCCGTGTCCAGCAACGGATCGCAACCCCCAGTGTCGCCCCCGTACCGGACCGGGACCGGCAACGGGATCGCAACCCTCGGTGTTGCCCCCGCGCCTCGCTCAGCCAGTGAGCGGGAACCGGTCTGTATGTGGGATCCAAACCCTCAGGCGGGAGCGCCGCCGCGCTTCCCAAGCGGCGCACTATCCAGTGCGCCACCGGGCCGGCCCCTACTTTTTCACTTTTAAAAGGGTATTTAAAAGTGAAATATAGTATTTTTTCACTTTTTAATCAAACCAGTTTTGTCCCTTTTGATATTTATTAGTCATGCTTTAAAAGTAAAACATTTATATTTTGCATTTTATACTTCTAACATCTGTCTTTGTAGGTCTGATGCTGATGTCCATTGTTCCTAATGACCCTTGCTCATGGTGGTTTCTTTCCTTGTGTACTTTGTATTTTAACTGTAAGCTCATATCCCTTGAAATTGTATCTGAAAATTACTCAAGGCCTAGGTTTAAAGAACAATCATCTAGACAGAACTGCATTTGCTTCTACCAGGTGCCTACAGACACTACCAACCTGAGACCACTTTATTTTTTCTGAGACCACTTTAAACTAAGTTATTCACTTAAAGATTTTCCAGGCCACATGGGTAGTATAAAGTCCAGTCCTAAACAGTATTGAGGGCCAGCTAAGCTTACATATTAGAGAGGAAACTTTATATCCCCACCTCAATCTCCCCTTGCATCCAACCAAAGCCAAGTAGGTGAGTTGTGGGATTGGTTCATCCTTTAAATGATCATGTCATCTTCTGGGGGCCCAGATTTAAGAGGGGTTTTTGATCTGACTTCCCACTTCGTGAAAGCTTTAGGCTTTGCTGCCTATCCCCAATATGTGGCCCACTAAAACAGTAGTTCTAGGCCACCCAGAAATCCCACAAAAAAACAGGATAATAAAAGTGAGTATAAAGAATGTTTATGAAGTGCCTCCTACATAAAGTCCCAGCCCTGGGAGCCATGAACAGACTCTATGGCCTTCACTGGCCCCTTTTCTTCTGTATCAGAATCATCCGTTTAACGCAAGATGGGTGAAGAAAATGAGGACATGATGAACCATATCCAAGCAGAGGCAATGTGGCACGGCAGAAGGCTGAACTGCTCCTTCTGTCCAGCCAAGAGCCCTCTAGTCTTCTCTGAGCCAACATAGTTCAAAGGCAACTGTGATCCTTGCCCTTGAACAAGAAAGAACCAGGAGAACGGGCCAAGCCCAACTCTGTTTCCACAGATCCATGTCTCCCTGGGGCGGTGGCAGAACAGGGAGATTACTCTTTGCTCAAAGGAAGATGTCTCCTGTCCTTGCCTGCATTTCGGCGCCTCTTTCGACTCAAGAAGCTCTCTAGCTTCTTGCTGCGTTTCAGCTCCTTGAACTTCTCAGCTAGGGCCAACTGGCGCTGCTCAGCTACATGAAAGGGCAAAAGAAAGCTGGTGAGCAATGGAGGAATCCCCCCTCTTTCCCTTTCCCAAGGTCAGTTAACTCCCAGCCATTATGCTGGGATACATGAGTTGTTTAGAGCTCACTGGTTTGTGTGAGCAAGCTGACTTTTTATATGATCCCAGTCTTACTCAATTCAACCAACTGTGAGCTCCTTCTATGTGCTTCGCCCAGACATGAAGTGACAATCCCTGCCATAATCTAATTAAGGATACAAAACTGGTTGCAAATAACATCTCCCTACTATTTCTACTTTCCTCCAAGTTACCATGGGATCCAGCCTTCACACTTTCCTTAAAGGAGCTCATAGACCCCCAACACAGTACCCTGCCACTATGGCCTCCACACCCCTGTCCCTGTAACCAGACAGCAGTAGTTACACTCCACTCACATTTCTTCAAGAAGTATGGCCGATGGCCCTGCTGGGCCTGAGCCCGCCGCTCCTGCTTCAGGGCCAGGCGCAGCTCCTGCTGCTGCTTTCTTTCTTGCTGTGCCATTTCTTGCTGCTCCTGAGTAGCAAAGACGAGATGGAATGAGATGGGTGAACTGGAAGGACTGTAAATCACCTCCTGCCTTTAACTACGCTCACCACCCACCTGCAATTATTACCCACTTACCATTCGCTGAAGCAGCTGCTGCAGTTTCTCATGCTCCTCCCCTGAACGGTGCTTCTTCAACTGTTTTTTCACAAGCTCCACACCGAAAATGAGTATGATGGTTAGCATTCACTAAATATTAGCTGAAATTTTGTGCCAAACATTACTCTAAGAGATTCACATATATGAACTGGATAACACTATGAGACAGAAATTATTACCCTTTTTATGATCAGAAAACTAAAGCAAGGGCCGGCCCGTGGCTCACTCAGGAGAGTGTGGTGCTGATAACACCAAGGCCACGGGTTTGGATCCTATATAGGGATGGCCGGTTAGCTCACTGGCTGAGCGTGGTGCTGACAACCCCAAGTCAAGGGTTAAGATCCCCTTACCGGTCATCTTTTGAAAAAAAAAAAAAAAAACTTTAAATATTAGCTGAAATTTTGTGCCAAACATTACTCTAAGAGATTCACATATATGAACTGGATAACACTATGAGACAGAAATTATTACCCTTTTTATGATCAGAAAACTAAAGCAAGGGCCGGCCCGTGGCTCACTCAGGAGAGTGTGGTGCTGATAACACCAAGGCCACGGGTTTGGATCCTATATAGGGATGGCCGGTTAGCTCACTGGCTGAGCGTGGTGCTGACAACACCAAGCCAAGGGTTAAGATCCCTTTACCGGTCATCTTTTAAAAAAAAAAAGAAAAAAGAAAAAAGAAAACTAAAGCAAAGAGAGATTAAATAACTTGCAGATGATTACACAGCTAGTAAAATGATGAGCCAGGATTTGATTATAAGAACCAAATTAGTGAAAATTAAACATGGCCACCACCTTCCTGCTCCCCTCTGCCCAAATCTCTAACCTGTGTCCTAGTTTCCCATCCCCTAAAAGTCCCCACAGACCAGTTTCATAAGGCATACCTCCTTCTCTTTGGCTCGGATGTCATTCAAGAATTGATACGTTTTGTCAAACACTTCAGGATTATATTCCCCTGACAGATCATCAAAGCGGGGGTCCCGGGCCACCTTTTGAGAGAACAGAGAGAATATAAAACTGTTCAGAAAATATAAAACTGTTCAGTCTCCCTGCACTGAGAAAGTGTTTCCTGCCTCTTCCTCACCTTTTTACTGATGGGGACAACCTGACGTAAAAATGGCACTCGGGCCTTGGCTGACATTTCCAGAGGCCTATGGAGAAATTAAAGGACAAGTCAAGGAGACCAGTCTTGGTCAAAGGCTTTGCACCTGCCACCCAACAAAAGAGACACCTATTCAAGGTCTCAGGTATCCTCCAACTCCTAGGGCAGGCCTTGCTCCTCACCTGTGCTTATCTGCAACAAATGCATTTTGGACTGGCGGTCTAGAATCTTGCTTCTTATTGCTGTTTCCAGCTACCAATTGTTTGTATGTCTTAATCCCCACTTGGCTCTGCAATTCCAACAGCTCCTCAAATGACATGTTAGATGTGTCTGCGGGAGGTGGAAGGGACACACAACTCAGCTCAGCACCTCCTACTGCAGAAAAGACATCATCCCATCCCCATTCCTCAGGGAGCTGATCTTTTCCAATATCCCCATCAGACTAATCATCACTACAACTCCCAGGCAGCACAAGTTGTAATGGTGCTAGGCTGACACCTAACTCCCCAACTGTTTCAGCTACCTGGGGCATCGTCTTGCTAAGGAAGGTGTTAAGGTCTGAGGTGGACCAAGCCATAGTCCCTTCTTTTCATCCTTTCTTTTAAATTATTCCTTCACAGGTTTCCCCACAAGGGCCTCTGTGTCTCCTTTGCTTGGTTATCATCGCCAACATGCTGGTTCATACTCCCAACATCTCTCACCTCTATCAGTGCACTTGCCTCTTTAACTGGTCTCCCAACCTCCATTCTCACAACTCTCAAAGCCATGCTACCTACTTTTGCTGAGAAAGGCACTGAAAACGAAATCTGATCTTATCACTCCACACATAAACTTCAGATGTCATCCCTGTCTTGAAACTCCCCAGTGTCTTCCAGCTTGTTCAGAGTAAAAGCCATACATCTCATAACGGCCTGAGAACACCCATGTGACCTGGCCCCTTTAAATATCTCTAATCTCATCTCCTGATAATCTCCTCACTCCTCTCAAGTCCACTGGCCTCTTACTAGTTCCTGAGCAGGAAGGTATGTTCCCGCCTCAGTTCCTTTGCACCTGACGTTGTCTCTGCTTGGTACACTTCTCCCAGATATACAAGGGTACTTCAAAAAGTTCATGGAAAAATAGAATGAAAAGATAATATGAAACTTTCTATGACCCTTTTGAAGTACCCTCATATGCACTGCTTGTTCCCTCACATTCTTCAAGCCTTTGCTCAAATGTCACCTTCCCAGCAAGGCCTTCTCTACCTTATTTAAAACTGCAACCCGTCCCCTGCTTTATTTCTCTCCATAGCCCTTATCTTTTTAAAAAATTGAGATATAACTAATATAACATAAAATTCACCCTTTTAAGATGTACAATTCGGTGTTTTATTATCTTTTAATGTAGTAACATACTTGTCTTTTTTTTAAATTGACCTTTCTAAAAGGTAAGCTCCATGAGGACAGTTTTTACCTGCATTATTCACTACTGTATCTCCAGAAGCCAGAATCGTGCCTACACATAGTAGATGCTCAATGAGTCTGCAGGATCTGTCGAATCTCGACCTACTAAGCTCTCCCCAGCAATCCATGCCGCTCGCCTGACTCCGTGCTATTACTCATGTGTTTCCCTTTCCCGAAAACCCCCCTACTTTGAAGAAACTATCCGGCTGTCCTAATCCCGGAAGCACCCCTCTCAATTCCCGCTTCCGTAGCACTAGGGGTGCTCCAGTCTTGGCCTCTTTCGGAGAACTTGGCAGTCTCACCCGACCGCGAGACGAGCTCCTGGGAGCACCCCTCCCCACCCTCGGCCCCGTGCCTTCACTCCTTGGCATGTCGCGGGCCGCGGCCCCGGGTTCCGGGCCGCCGTCGTCTTCCCCGCCGTCCCCGGCCCCACGGGTGGGTCGGGCCGCGACCCCAGCGCGGCGGTTCCTTCGCGGCATCGGCTGGTACAGCGATCCGAGGGCGAATGGCGCCACTTCCGCTCGCGGCGGCTCCCGACCCGCCTCTTCCGGTGTTCCCGGGAGGCCGAGTTTCAACATGATGGTGAACGAGCAGAAAACACCGACTGCGCTGCCCGAGGGAGAGCCCGCTCCGGGGAGAACGTCGCAGCCTCTGCACGAGTCGCACGGCGCTGTACTCCGCGCCCGAGGAGCTGGGGCCAGGCCTTGTTGGCATTTGGTTTCCCAGTACTCTTGGCTGAGAAGCCAGAACCTCAGGGGCGCCTCCTCAGCACCCTGCCCCCACCGTAAACTCTTGTTATCACCACCGCATTTCACAAAAACACATCACACGTTTGGACGTTTTAATTCATTTTTATAAAATCTGAGCTGGCTGAGCTTCAGGGTACAGCAACAGCTCAGGGAAGGGCGGGATTACCTGCTGGTCCCCGCCTCCCCACTCGGGGAGAAGGAGGTTTCACGCCAACAGCTGCAACTCCTCTCAGCTCCCAGCCAAGGCTCATGGCTCAAGCAGGGGGAGGGGTGGGCTTAGGAGTAGGGGGAAGCTCCTGAGGCTCAGACACTGCTTGCTTCTCCCTTCTCCCCATTCGCTTCCCTTCCCAGCAGAGCCTGGCTGGCCTGGGGCAGAACAGAGGCCCAGGAGCAGTCGGAAGGAGGTGGATCGGGACAGAGCACCAAGGGGAAGGGGCCCTCGGCCCAAGGGGGGGAGGAACCTCACCCTCCCTCCCTACAGCTCCCCACTGAATTCACAGCACAGAAAACACCTCTAGTCCAACAACTCCACGTGGAGGTATACGGAGTTCAGGGTCCAAAGGGGCAGGCAGGTGAGAGATGGGCAGGGACAGTGAAGACAACAGCAGGCTCAGGAGGGGAAGTAGCAGAAATTTGCTCCTACCCATGGGAGGAGACGATGGGGCGACTGATATTGCTGTTGGTGGTCATGGCATTCAGCTCCCACCTGAAAGGCCAAAAATAACAGGAAGGACAGAAGGGGAAGCCCCCATCCCAAGCCCAGACTTGCCTGCACAAATGTATGAACACAGCACTCCAACTTCCTAAAGCTCACCCACCCACAGCTACCTCTTCCTTATAGCCCTACTAGGTTTAACAATCAGACCCCACCCACCACCAAATCCAATACTACCCACTCCTCCACCTCCAAGCTCATGTGGATTTCCTGTTTATGTTTATAAATATATTCTTGCGTCCAAGCACCTGGGATCTGTGTACACATTTCAGTAAACATCCCAACCTCCCTTTCTTGCTCTGCTCAGATCCAACCAGACAGCTCCTCCATCTTACCCCCACCAAGAATGCCAATTTTTGCTCCCAATTCCCATCTTTTTAAGAACTCAGCTCTCCTATCCTCCCTGAGGCCTTCCCCACCCATCCCACCATATTAAAACTAAATTTCTCTCTTTTTGACAATTTTTTAATTCCACAAAGATTTACCAAGTACCTCCTCATGCGAAGACCCTAAACTTAGTATTAGGTACTTGCACATGTGTCAATCATGGGCCAGTCTGGGATCCATCAGTGCAGCCTTGTACACTCTTGTCACCAAATGCTGAACACACAGACCCTCAGCAAGTAAGAGTTAAACTGAACCGGTAAATACAAGGTGACGGTATGTCTCAGAATGGCCCTGAAGGACAAAATTATACACAAAGTAACTTGTGGTGCTTGATTTAAACCTAAGAAAGGAATTCAAAGCAAAGTGGCCAGGACCTCCCTTTATTCTAGAACTAATGTGATTGAGAGTCTCCTAAATTTGTCCTTACTTTGCAGCTAGGTTCTAAGATTTAATCAAGCATTCTCAGCATGTTAAAAACAACTGTGCAAGCTCAGACCTCAGGCTTTTGAAAAACTGGATTAATTATTTTTTTCATATGATCTACAACAGTTTTATATGATGGCTGTAACTTCACCTCCTTCCATCTCACTCCCAACAAGTACACTACATCTCTAGCAGACCAAAAATACCTATTTCCTCCATACTGAGACCAAGGTCATGCCTGTGCTGCTCACTCACTCTCAACCAATCTCTCTTTTCCAACCACTCCCTGTACCTGATATCATGGGGCAAACAGGACTGGTCCAGGTTATACTGAATCACGGCCAGTTTGCACAGAGTCTTCAGACTAGGGCCTTTAAAGGAAGAGTTGGGGAAGATGGTCAAAGCCAAAGAAAGGGTCCAGTCCTGGATATCACCACCCAAAGACAGAGACCCTGATGTCAGGAAAACTTCAAGAATAACTGTACTTACTAAAGTCCAAAATGTGTAAGTCAGAATGATCTATGAGGTCAAATTCATCTCCCAGGCCTTCCTCGGGAGATGGACTGTAGGGATTAAAAGAGTTGAATGTAGGAGGAAAAACTACCCACGAGACCCTCTTGCTCAAATACCTCCCACTCTTCTCTTCATCACAAACTTAGGTCCTTCCCTGAGCCCTCCCCTCTTTCCTCCTAACCTGGTACCCCCAAAGAGGACAATCTTGTCACCAACAATACAGCAGCACTGGCGCCGGCGGGGACATGGCCCCTTCCCCTTCGGTTCAATCTTTTTCCAGGTAAAGGACACTTAAAGAGAAGTTTATATGGAAGTTCAATACCTGCCCAGGCCAGATATCTTCTCCATCCCTCATCCCCTCACCTACTCAGGATTATTCTCTTCTTTCCTCCCACCTCAATTGTTCTTTGTTTCTCCCCTAAAGGCAGTGCTCTTTACCAGGGTTAAACTTCCAGAGGTCATGGAAGTGCCGGTTCAGCCTCGCATTATAGCCACCAAAGATGTACAGTTCCCCGTTGTAACCAACTGGAAGGAGAGAGGAATGTCAAGAGTGTGAGGAGAGCAGGACGGGATTCCACAGGGAAACAACAGACACTCACAGGCTGAGTGGCTTCGGCGCCCCTCGGGCAGCACTGGAGTGGGAGGACAGTCCAGCCAGGCCTCAGTTCTGGTGTCAAAGACGCGAATGCGGTTGCAGTAAATCTCATTGTTAGAATGGAATGGCCCAAAGCGGTCAGCACGGCCCCCAAAGACATACATGTAACTGCCCAGCATTGTGGCTGAGTGGAAGTCCCTCCAGCGTGCCGGATTGCCCTGGGCAGGGGCAGAGAGATGGGGGAGGGATCAGCACAAAAGTTGGAAGGGGATCTGCTCTCACTGAACTTCCTATGATTTCTTCAATGGATGGTGGGGATTTGGGAGAAAGAAGAAAGGGCAGACCTTCGTACAGATAAGGGTCCATGTCATGGTGCTGGTATCCAGCTTGTGAATGTCATTGGAAAAGCAGTCTGCCTGAGTGGAAAAAGGAAGGAAGGAAGGAAGAGGGAACCAATGGTCACTCTCTGACCCTCCATCTCTCCCCTTAAAACCTGAAAATAAGCTAAAGCCACCCATTCAACCACTCTAAATTCCCCTTCCTCTTTCTCATTCCCACCCTAAACCTCTAGTTTCTTCCCAGACTTACCAGTTGCTCATAGCCCCCAAAAATGTACATGATCTTGCCCAGGACACAAGCGGAATGTCCATCCCGGGCCCCAGGAACTGTTCCTGACACTCGGGGTGTGGACCACTTGTGAGTATCTGAAGGAGGTAAGAGAATGGCCCAGATAAGCAACCTCTGACATTCTCTCCTAAACCCTGGGGTGCCCTATTCCCCAGCTCTCCCAGCCCCTCCATGCCTCTCCCAGGCCCCCGAGGCACCATTTGGCAGAACACAGCCTCTCTGAGACCCATACTCACTGACGTCAAAGGCATAGAGCACATTGCAGGCCCCTTCGGTGTCATTCCGCCCGCCCCAAAGGAAGACTGTGTCGTCGATGAGGACGGTTGAGTGTCCATACCGCATGTAGGGTACCAAAGGAGTCTGCCCACGAATGGCAGGCCTCACTGGGGGCAGCTTTGTCCAACGCAAGGACACTGTGGGCACAGCTCTACTCAGCCCTGGGAACCTCCCTCCAGGCTGTCCACATTTTCCCAAACCAGATATTCGACCCCAATCCCCTTGGCCACAGAGACCACAGAAACCTCATTCAGCCACCCGTTCCCCTCCCTGATGTGGGCACCCAGGGACGATCCCAGCATTGGCTTACCTGCATTGAAAATGTGCACATCTATCTGGCGCAGTGTCTCATAGTCTTCACCAGAGCAGTAACCCCCGAAGGAGTATACCCGGTGCCCAACAGCCACTGCAGCATGGTTCACCCTGCGGGGCCCGCCCTCCAGGTGCACTGTCCACCGTAACATCCCCTGGGCCACTGGTTACAGCAACATGCCCCCCCGGCACGGCCTGCTGCCTCTGCTACCTGCACACAAGTCAGGGCCACGAGCTCCTCAGGCAAGGCTTCTGCCAGACTCACCGTGACTCCGCCCAGGACCAGCCTTTGCCTCCAAGTGTCACCCTGGTGGCCCTCCCACACCACCCCTCCGCAGGGACACTAGTCACAGCTTAGGTGGCTGGCTCTGCCCCAGGGGAGCTACTGAGGTCAGGGAACTAGCCCTGGCCCTGTGTTCTCCAGCAGCAAAGGGTGGGGCCACTCCGACCTGATAGTCAGCTCAGAATCTGCTGATCACGGTTGCCCCTACTCATGTAGGCTCCACCCTGTTCCAGATTGGCACGAGCTCTAAGCCCCCTTCCCAGGCTGGGTGTATTCTCTTGTCCCTGATTCTGTTCTGCTTACAGCCACCTCTCTAAGAATCTCTGTGCTCTTTACGGTGGGGAAACGGATCTCAAAATACTCACAGCTATTAATAGCCCAGCCAGCCCCAAACAGTCCATTGAAACCTGGCATGGGTACTTCAAAGAAGAAAAGCTTTTAGGCTTTTATACTGGAACAGCCCTCCTACCCAGGACAGGGTGGCATTGATCCAGGACAGAGACCTCCATGTTACCATGGTTGGTGAGCCCCTCAGAGAGGACAAGTTGAGCTGTTGTCATCAGGACCCCCCACAGGCACGGGGAGTTCCTTTGACAGCTATGCCTGGTATGCTGCCAGGACTTGGAACTTAAGCCGGGATTGGTGGGGTGGGGGTTGGGAGAAGGGGTTTTCTCCTCCTGCCACTTCCCTAGTCCTGCCACTGTGGTAGAGAACAAGCCATTTCCAGTAGCTCTTCCCCTGCCTGGGTCACTGACAGGTGGACACAGATAGGGGTGTGCACTGGAAAGGGGAAGGGAAGCAAAAATGCCCTTGGACAGGACAAGAGAAAGAACCAAGCATGAGAGATAATCGTCTTTTAATTTGCCAAGCTAGTGATATGGGTATATTTGAGGGCTCTTTTAGGCAAATCTTCTTGCAACTGGCAATGCCTTTGCTGGCAGACACCTGCTGGGTTTGGGTGGCTCATCTGCTCCCTGCACAAGAAGCCCTGGCAGAAGAGCTAGGCAGAACCTCAGGCACGAAAAAAGCTCAAATAAGGGAGGCCCCTTGCAGGAAAGAGACATGGCTTTCAGCTGGCTTGCCAGCCCTACACATCCAACCTCCCCCAACCCCACACCCCATGCTTTAAATAGCAACCCTGCCCAACTTGAAATAGCCCCAGCAGGAAGCTACTCTCACTTCATTACTCCTTCCAATCCAAAATATCTTGGATATGGACTTGGAGGGATAGTTAGGAGGTTGAAGGGCTTGGGAATGGAAGTCCTTAATCTTACCTCATAGCCTCTACTCCCCCCTTTAGATGTGTCAAGGTAAAATTAAAAACGCACAGAAGAGATCAGCAATCCCAGCCAAAGGTGGAGAAAGAATCTTAGCTTCTCCATCAGGACAACTCCAACTCAAGAAGAACAAGCCTCCAGGGGCTCCTCTTACCTCTGGGTCTCCCTGATCCTCTATGACTACAGCATTTCCAAGCTTCTTCGCTTCCCTTAATGTATCTACCCCCCACCCCCGGTCTCTTGAAATTTTCACTCTCCATTTCTGGACCTTCTTGATCTCCTGAGAGCTTTGCAGTCTTTTCATTTTTCTTTCTCCCACCACTCCATGGACAGCCCTCCATTTTCCCACCTCCCCTGAGGGAAGAAAAACTAATATACATTGACTCCTTTCAGCCACAGATATTCCTCCATGAGTATGACTCTATGTCTGCCATCCCAGTCTCCCCTCCGAACCACACCAGACACCCCCCACACCCCTTATGCTCAACTTCTGGTTCTCCTCATAACCCAATCTTCGTTCCGGTTTCCTTCAGTGCCTCCTCCAGCCATCAAGTCTCTCCCACCCGTCTTCTCTCCATCCTCCCCCAGCCCTTCTTTCCCCATTAACACTCTCCTTTCCCATCATCCCCCTAGTTACCTCCCCTCCCCCACAACTCCAGCTCTAGGCATGGGCGTCCCAGCCCCCCCAATTCTTCCTTGCCCCTCAACCCTCCCAGGCTACCTGCCAGGCCGGGCCGGGGCGGGGCCGCGAGTCTTCGCGCTGCCTACAGCCTAGAACCCGTTGCGTGCCAACCGACACTTCGGTCGCCAACGAGATAAACACTGCCAGTCTCCGTCCTTCCGGCGGGCAGCTGCGCGCGCACGTGCAGTCGGGGCTAAGTACACGAGGCCCTCCGGTACTTGTAGTCCATGGGTTTCCCGACTGACGTGAGGGCGGAGGAGAGGTAGGAGCCCAAGGAGAAATTGTGCGCATGTGCAGATATGTGTCGAGGCCGTGGGGGTCACTGGGTAATGCAGTCGTTTGTGTCTGGGCCGGAGATAGCGGAGGCGGGGCAAGGGGCGGACCTCTCGTCCTCGCTGGCGTCAATCATGGGCACGGGGCGGGGCTGGAGGACTAGGCGCCCCAGCACGTCGTCCTACCGGAAGTGAAGGTGTGGGTTCGGCTGCGGGCTCTGAGCGGGTGAGGCGCGCGGAAACACCGGCGCCGAGAATCACCGTGGGCGGGTGGGGGTCGCCGCAGCTGGGCCTATTTGAGGGGAGCCCCTGGGACCTGAAGGCGTTTGTCAGGCGGTACAGAGGGGAACCCCTAGGAGAGGGGAGAAAGGGGCGGGTACGCCCTGTCTGGGGGTTTGGCGAGCCGAAGCTCCCAAGGGGGGGCGTGGCGAGGGCTGGGGTTCTGGAAGTGGGTGTCTTTTGAAAGATGGCAGGGCCTCCAGTTGGGCTGTTTATTTAGGGATTGGAGCAGGGCGGCTGGGGCCCGCTTCGAGATAAGAGCCCCGACTTGAGAGGGGGAGGAACGAGAGGTGGGGGGTGAGGGGAGAAGGATGCAGGAAAATTGGAGCAGAAGAGCTGGTTTTGTGGACGCGGAAGGAGACCACAAGTAGTTGGATGAGAGGATGAAGATGGGCCTGGTTTCGTTCAATCTCTCTTTATCTCCTTATTCTTGCAGCCCCTGCCCGGATGGCAGCAGTAGTTCTAGGGGGAGACACCATGGGCCCTGAGCGTATCTTCCCCAATCAGACTGAGGAACTGGGGCCGCGTCAGAGCTCTACAGAAGGCACTGGGGACTGGAGCAGTGAGGAGCCTGAGGAAGAGCAGGAGGAAACGGGGGCGGGCCCAGCTGGCTACTCCTACCAGCCCCTGAACCAGGATCCTGAACAAGAGGAGGTGGAGCTGGCGCCAGTGGGGGATGGAGATGTAGTTGCTGACATCCAGGATCGAATCCAGGTATGGTGAAGGGGTTGTACTTGAGGTGAACCTGGAGTCCCTGATAGGCGGGACCCAAACTGTCTTCTCTCTGGCTCTGCAGGCCCTGGGGCTTCATTTGCCAGACCCGCCATTAGAGAGTGAGGATGAAGATGAGGAGGGAGCTACAGCATTGAGCAACCACAGCTCTATTCCCATGGACCCAGGTAAAAAGAGATCATTCTTTCACCCTGGAATAATTATGAAGGAAATGAACTGGCCTGAGCCAATATAGGGAAGTTATAGGAAGAACTATAACTTCCTAAAAATATGATTTGCAAACTAAGATCCTGCAGACTGCAGAATAGCATGTGAAATACTATTCTACTAAACTTGGGAATGAGCAGGCTTGCCTAGAAATAACAAGATGTATTTGGTGAGCCTACCAGCCCGAGGGCTCTGGGTTGATTCAAGGAATGGGGAAGGGAGCTGGTCCCATTGTTTCCATCCCCTAACTGGTGCCTGGCTGATTTCAGAACACGTAGAGCTGGTGAAAAGGACAATGGCTGGAGTAAGCCTGCCTGCGCCAGGGGTTCCTGCCTGGGCTCGGGAGATATCGGATGCCCAGTGGGAAGATGTGGTACAGAAAGCCCTCCAAGCCTGGCAGGCGTCCCCTGCCTGGAAGTGACCACACTGAGAGCTGCCTTATCTCCCTACATTCCAGGCCAGAACCAGCAAAGAACTGAACACATCCCTGGTTGTAATGTCCATTTCCATCCTCCCCATCTCTTTCCCCATCAAGGCAAATCAGACTTCTTCTCAGAGACCCACTTTATTCAATTCTGTACATATGGGGACATCGGCCCAAGCCCAACCCACCTTAGCATGTATCACTTTGTAGAGAATAAAGCACCCTATGTACACAGCCAAAAGCCGCACTGCCTGTGCCCCTGGAACCTGGGTCCAGCCCTTTTCAGCTCCTTGCCCCTCCAAGGAGCCTAAAAGGGACAAATGAGGGCCTGCCCAGCATCAGCACAAACAAGGAAATAAATAGGTGTTTGAGGGAGCCATGCTTGGGGCACTGCTCCCTGCTTCCTTTCTAGCTTTGGGAACCAACAGCATGGGAAAGCAGTCAGCCCCAGGGTGGTCCCTTCCATGTTTGTGATCCCAGGGCTGCTGCTCACCAGAAGGGTCACAGGGTAGGGTGTTTTTTCATCCCCGCCCTGCTTTGTCCACCTGGGCCCTATACTCATCACCTACTGTCCGTAGCCTATCCTTTTCTCCTTTTGACCTCTCATGTTGTCTTGGTCAGGAAGCATGAAAGAGGAAATAATACCACCCCATCTGCCTGTGTGCTGCTTGGGGTTGGCTCCTCTCCAGCTCCTCACTCCAGGAGCTAATGAGGCTTGACATAACTTTGGTGAGAATAATTTCCTGCTGCTTCCTACATGCCTCTGCAGGGGAGAGAGAAGAGGAGAGACACCTGGAGTTCAAATAAGGAAGAAGGGAAGAGGAAAGGAGCATATGTATCCTGTGTGTATGTTTCTCAGAGCAGCCTCAGGTAGCTGTGGGGTTAGGAGCAGGAAGGGGACAGGCATCCCCACGTTGTCTGAGCACTGAGCATCTCAGTGCTCAGCCTGTCTGTACTAGCCACAGGGAGGCCATGAACACATTTTGAGGACAAGTGGGACCACTCTGGGTGTCCCTACTTCAAGTGCCTGCATCCCCCTCCCTAGAGTAGCTAGAGAGGCCCTGCCTTGCCCCAAGCCAGTAGGGAGCAGAGGGTGGAGGGCCAGGGCAGTGTCCCAGGGCTGAGTGGGCTGTGGCCCTGTGGTGGGAAGTGAGGGGGGTCAGAGAGCCTCCTGGCTGGCAGTTAGGAACTCTTCTGCCCGCTTGTGCGCCTCCAGTGCCTTGATGGTGTACACGTCCTGGGGCAGCTCCGACTTCCTCCGAAGCAGCACTTTCTCCTTCTTGATGTCCTTTAACATCTGTGTGTGGACAAGGAGAAAGTGAGGAATGTTGACCAATTCTCAGTGAATCTGGCTGTTCCTCCCCTTATTCTTTGGCTCTGCTGCTCTTTTCTCCTCTCCCTCCCAGAGCTGTCGTTTCTGCTCCACTGTACCCCATACCCTCCCTCCCACCTGCACAGCCTCTGTCTCCACCGTCCTCTTCAGAAGCTGGATGTCCTCTGCTGTTGGGGTCTCTGTCTCCATTGAGTACACTGGGGGCAGTGGTGGAGGAGCTCGGAACATGGGATACTGAGAGGGAAAGGAGGCATGGACAAGTAACAGCCACTTCAGAGGTCTGTGGGTCTGTCTGCTTCATATTCCTCCTCCAACATACTCTTTCCCACTCAAGATGGGCCTCTCAGTTCAGGGCACTGGCAGAAAAACCTCACCTGGGGATTAAGCCGGGCCAGCTCCTCAATTTTTTGCCACATCTCTTCTCTTTCCTTCATTCGGAAACGGCCCCTGAGGAAGCAAAAGTAGGATTGGGGTCGGGTTTGAGAGAAGCAAAATGAGCTGGTGGTAGAAAATGAAAGTCTTCCAGGGAGGGAGAGACTCACTTCTGCTTCTCTGCCTTGTATTGTTGCGTGCAGTCATCAAATAGCTTCTGATTCATTTCCATGAACAGCTTCAAGGCATTGTAGATCAGTCCATGGATTGTCCTACCACCAGAAGAAAGATGAGGGACAAGAGCCAGAGCCTGCTCTTAGCATCAAGACTCCAATTTGCTCTCTCCTAGGTGGTTTCTCTGCTAAGAGCTTTCCTGTTTACTACTCCTATTTCACAAACCTTGATACAGCATAAGCAGGTACTCTGGCCAAAACATGTGACTTCAGACTGGCCTTTCACAGTCTTTATAAGTATTGGTCCACCTGTCCATCCTTCCCCCACCCCATGCACCACGGCCTGCCTTCTTCCCACCACTTCCCTCTCTCTAATCCCCAGTAATGGCCTCTCAGCAGCATGATGGACCATGTCTGCACCACACTGTGCTTGCTTTTAGCAGGAAAGCCTTTTTACAACTCTGGGATTCTTTACACATACTCTCTTAAGAGGATCACATCAGCTTCTCACAGCACAGAATTATGTCTCCAAAGCTCTGCTTTGACCTGCGGAATAGCTGGCCCCAAGAAGCGATAAAATACAGGCCACTGCTCTGCTGTTTGATACCACAGAGCTCTCTCACATGGGCATCTTTTCTCTCCACTCAGTCTCTTACTCAAGGTCCTATCAATATGCAAGGGCACCAGCCCTACTTGCTGAGTGACCAAGTGAGACCTCTTGCTCCTTAGCTCTTCCACACCCTCAAAGGGTCCAAAACCAGATCCCTATTACCCAGCCCCACCCCAGTGCCCTACTTGTTCCAGTGGCTCTTGGAGTTCCTGTAGAGTGCGGGGAACATGATGGGGAGGACTCGGGCAGCATTGTCACTTATCAGGCTCATGATGTACTCGTTGTTCCAGTAATAGAGTGCACGCTCTGCCACCTGGTGGAGAGAGGTGGGACTCAGTGGGGGTACTGCTCGCTTGGCTCAAGACCTCCTCAGTTTCTGGGAGACAGGGACTAGGATATGCTGGGTCTGGGTCTCACCTGGAAATGGGGGCTGGAGACACATTTGGCAAGTTGGCGGAAGAGTGGTTCCATCACTTTGCTGAATTCTGAAGGTTCAATGACATCCAGAATCTCCTCTAGCTCATTCAGGAACATCACCTCCTTGGGGCTGTGGGTCTTGGGCCAGAACTTGAGAAGTCCCACAATCACCTGTGCGAAGAGAAGGACACAAGGATGAGATTCTCAACACCTGCCTGGTTCTCCAGGAAGCCTTCCTGCCCACTATCCCCCACCCTAGTGGGCACAGCTTGGTTGGCCTCAGCTATCTGCTTATGTTTCTCTGGCTTGGATCTCTTTCCTAGGTATATATAAGTTTCACTTCTCCCTCAGAGAGGAAACCATGCCACCTGTCAGGCCACAGCCCTCCTGAGTACCTGCTTACAGCACTGCTCAAATAGGTACAGACTGGCAAGTGATGCTGATGACAGTAAGAGGTGGACCCT